GCCAAGTCAGTAACTGCTGGTTTAGAAGCGTCACTGACTTCCTCAACTTTCTCTACCCTGCTGTCGAACTTTGTTCTTCTGTAACAGCCAGATGTTTTGTTTTCTGAGGAGCACATGCTGATGTGACTCTTTTACCAGTAAAGTATTTATATGAAGTACAAAGACAGGCTTTAATTTTTCTTTTGAGAATTGCCTCTGTCTTATGCCACTTGCAGTAAGCTCCCTCTTTTGTGGCATCTTAGAACTACCGAAAAAGCTTCATGTCAACCAAGGGCTTTCTTCTTATTCTTCTTCTCCAGTCTTGATGCACAGCCCTGTAATTACCCATGGCATCAACAGCAGTGAATGGTGCTTTATCGACTACCTCTCAGCAATTTTTCACGGCTGGGGGTTGACGATTCTGCCTTATGTGCAATACCTGATGGCTTTTTAGTAATAGGTAGTTGTAAGTAATGCTCATCTCTGACCTGAGGGGTTTATTCTCTCTGTTCCAGTGAGGTATGCATGGGGCTCAGCTTTATTATGTCATTTTTCTTAGTTGTTGAGAGTCGGCACAGCTCAATTTAGAAACAAGTCTGACTTCACAATGGAGCATGACATTGCAAGTCATGCAATGGAGAAATAATTGGAGAAATAACGTCCCCTTCCCCATATACAATTCCATCTATTTCTGGCTTGCACTAATAGTCTCCCAAATCTGAAAAAATGTTTAAAGACTTTGCACTGCAATAAACATTAATTACAATTTCTTCAGATACCATTTTGCTTGCAGCTCTGTCATATTTGTGCTTGAACTGTGAAACCTTTTTCCCATAGCACATGTCATTGCCTGGACAGTTTCTAGGAACAGGGGTTCTGAGAAGCCAAAAAATTAGCATCAGTCTGATAAGAGCTTGCTTGTTGCTTTCTCCTGGTGGGGCAGGGAATGTCTCGTAGCAGGGAGTGCCATCCCCTTTGTGGAGCACATTAAGCAGAGGGTAGGTTTTCTGAGCGATAGTTTTGAAGCAATCAACCTCTCCTTGGGTGAATGCACAGTAGATGGATTTGAATTTCCCACAATCTGCCTTCACTTCAGGGTGTTTGTGGAGGAGAATGCAATCGTGAACGTCCTGGTCCATTTAGCAGTTTTAGCCTGATAAAAAAATCTCAAGTAGTTTGTGAAACAGAATTATGACTGCTTATTTCTCTCCTTTGAAGAGAATGTTCTTATCTAGGACATCCCTTATGGTCTTTGCTGTTGTTGTGTAGGTCCAGCTAACCCAGTCTCCTGTCACTGGTGCTGGCCAAAAGTGGGTTGCAAGAAAAGACTAAGAGAGAAGATTCTGCACATGGCAGTCCTTTCCTTGAGAACTCACTCAGCCTGCAGTTCTTTATCTGTCAGACTTTCAGAGCTGGAAAAATTTTCTGTGGATTTAGGTTATATGGACTCAGGGAAAGACTAGAAGTGCTCACAGAAGAGTCTGTTTTGGTCATCTGTCATGTCTAATGGCAAAGGGCAGACGAACATCTTCCAGAAGGGGAACCTGATTAATGGGTTAGCTTTGCAAAGCTCTGGGGAAGCAAAAGCCCAGGCAGTAGGGGAGTGATGAACCCTCTTCAGAAGCCCCCATGGAAAGGAGAAGAGGTAATAGGCATACATTGCATCAAGGGAAATTCCAGCTGGATAAAAGAGGGGAAATGGAGGGTGGCTGAACATTGCAGTAGGAGCCCAGAGAGGCTGTGGGAGATTGTTGAAGACTTTGCCTGGACGAGGACCCTGAGCTAGCTTTGAGGTTGGCCTTGCTTTGCGCAGCCTTTGGACTAGAGGCGCCCAGGTCCAGAGAAACGACCACTGGTCAGATGGATCCTGGGAAAGAATATTTACAATTATACCCAGAGAAGTTTTTAAATGAAGGCTGACTTGATGTTGTGGCTTTTTTATTTTCATTTCAGGGTTGTGGTGCTGGAGAGTAGGCCAACAGATAACCCAACAGCCAACAGCAATTTATATATCCTGGCAGGACATGAGAACAGTTACTGAGAACAACATGTGGGGAGCAGCTCACAGCAACCAGGGAACGCTCCTGCTGCAGCAGCATTCGTGGCTGGCTGGAATTGCACAAAAGCTGCAGTAACTCGACTTCAGTTACTTTATAATTTATTGTGGCATGAAAGGAAGGAGAGCATTGTTTGTGGTATGGACACGCAAGCATCATGATAGCACAGACGTGCTTAATTTACTGTTATGTAATCTTTGTACATATGCAGTATTTTTCAGTGAAACTTCTTGCTGAAGAGCTACAAAGATGTTCTGTAGATAGCGGCCCTCCTGTTAAGTACAAGTGTCTTACCTGTACAGATGTAGAAGTCACTGAGGATGCAAAAATGAAATTGGGGTACTATTTTAAGGACTTCTCATGTGTTTATAATAAAGTGGGATGCTAGCAACAAATATAGTACATTTAACAACACTATTGTATTTTATGTAATTTACTAATACAAATTAATCTTAACTTTTAGAAATTGTAACCAAGGCTGTAATCAGATTACAATCTTGTTTTAATTTTGATGCAACACACTGGTGTTCATGTTTGCACAATGTATTGAGATGTGATGTATTTAGTCACAAAGGTAAGCTGTGACTTTGTGGATATGACTTGGGCTTCAAAGTTCCTTTTTTTCAGTTTACTTGGGTAGTTTTCTTTGTGAAACAAACCAGTTAAACACCTGTATTTTTATATTTAATTAAAACTGTCCTTATGATTACTTCTCTATGCTTGAAAACAATAGTTTCTGGATGGGTGACAGCCCCAGACTAGTGGTACCTGGCTGTAACATTGCAATAGGTGTTTGAATTATTAGTGTATACGATGATAAAAATTAATATTACTGTTTGTCTTACTAAATAGTTTCATATCACAATGAAAAGGAGCAACATTCCACATTGTGGAAATGGCTCAAAAGATGTTGCCATTTTGACTTTTTTTGGCCTTACAACCATATTCACATTTCTTGATTTAGGATGTTAACACATGGCCAAAATAATTTAGTTACTACCTCATTCAAACAATACAATGGTTACTACACATCACAGGAACTTAGTTTTGATCAGAAGTATTTTTGATTGCTATTTTCCAATGGAGTATGTAAATGCCAAGTATTAGCAAAATGCACACATTTGACTCCTTTTTTTTGTATATGTTCTTTATATTTTATTGTTATAATATACACTAAAACCAAACTAAATTGAAAGTGATTTATGGCCTGCATTATTGTTTTGATTGGTAATGCTTTGAAATATGTTCCCTAATGTATATAATGTAAAATAAACCTTTTTTAACATGTTGTTGTACAGTTAGATTACCACCTGCACTAATTTTCCACATAAGACTAAAATGGAGCACACTGAGTTTTGAATTCTGTTATTAAATGTTTGTGCCAAACAAGGAAGCTGAGCATTTCTGAATGTGTGGATGGTCAGACCGCTGGCGCTCAACTCAGTTTCCCCCGGCACTGGCGGGCAGGCGTTATTGCTCTTTCTGGCCTTTAAGCAATGGACATGCATATTTGAGATAAGTCTTTCCAAATCACTGCCTCTCCTGGTGCCACCATGCGTGTTCCCTTACGCCGAGCTTCAGATCCACCCTGTGGGAGCAGTGGTGATGGAAGCCCCACTGCTGAGAAGCTGAATTCTCAGAAAAGGCAAGAACTTGTGTGTGTTTCACAGCACACTTGAGCTGCTGCCCAAGGGGGATTTCTATCCTGCCTCCCATGGACTATTCCTCACTTTGACGTACAAAAATTCTCCCAGCTAAATGTTAACCAAGTACAGTATAGCTGATGTGCTACAGAACATGTTTCCTTCTATGGGTTTTTTGCAGTGGCTGTAGCCAAGTGTCTTCCTGTTTGGGGCTGTTGGGCCATTGCTGAATTACAGGCAACAGGACCTAAGGGGTATTGGGGTTTATTCTGGCTGAGCATTTTCAGTAGAAGGATGCATGCTGGCATTCAGCTGGAAGAGCTAAAAATAAAGAGGAAAGGGGCAGAAGGGGAGCATTGTGCTAGGGCAGGCATGTCTCAAATTTGTTGGTATAGCCAGGACACCTTTGCTTTCCACGTGCCACTCTCCAGCCTGGAAGATGAGGAGGAAGCAGCAAAGGGTTCCTGCTGTTTGAGGAATTGTCCTGTTGCAAACTTTGGCGTCTGTACCACAGAACTGCCTTTCCCCCATCCTGAGCTGCTCAGCTCGTTGGCTGGCAGCTGCCCTCAGCTGAGCCCAGATGTCTGGTAGAGCAAAAGGTCTCCTTTGCTGGACCAGCAATTGCCATGAACTGAAAGTTTCCTTGAGCCACGCTCAGTGGGAGCTTCCACCACCCCTATCCTGATGTCGGATGGGGATCAGTGTGCAGCTGACTGATAGGAGCACAGTCAAGAGCCAGGAAACCAAATCACAGGCACAGTGAGTTTAGTGCAGCTCGTTGACAACAGCTTCTCTAACAACTTGTGCAGCTTCCCTTTTTCTCTCTTCTCCTAGCCCTTCTACTCTGGTTGGCTTCTAGCTAGCGGCCCAAGCCACTAACAGGCGGAAGCCTCTTGTGATGTGCCTGTGTGTGGCATTCACCAACCCAGCAGCAAAGTTTGATCAGTGAGGGGTCTCAGCCAAGGGAACAAGGAGTTGGGGTTGTTTGGGTTTGCTGCAGAAATGCTCATGGAAGCAGGGAGGCCAGGGGAATGAACGCTGCTTTTAACCTGTTCTGCATCTCTCCATGCAACGCTGCCTGCCCCCGTCAGAAACAGGATCTGGTCACCTGAAAAAGAGGGAGTTCAGATTCAAATTCAAGTTCTGTTTCTGGCTGCCCTTGACTGAAACCAAGAGCTGTGCAAGGCAAAGCACGTGCTGCTGGATGCTGTTCCCATAATTGGAACCTTGCAATGGGGCTGGGTGAACCCAGCAATGCTGCAAGCAGTGATGGGGGTGGAAGCATCCCCCAGGCAGGGGGTGTTTCTTATACTCCACAGGGTTTGGCTTTAGCAATAGCACTGCTGGTTTTATTGAAGGAATCTACGTGAAGGGTGTAGGGGAAGCTGTTAAGACCAGAGAACATGCCAAAACTTCTTGCTTCTCTTCAAGGAAACGCTCCAGGTTGGTCTAAAATATGGGTTATAGGGTGTAATGTTCCAGGCCTGTGTCGTCTATTGAAGAATGCAGGAGGAGGAATGTGTCTGGGGAGGGGGACATGGACCCTAGTGGGCTCTCAGGTCCTCATTGTGGACAGCAATGCTGGGTTCGCTGTTTGCTCAGCATTATCCTCTACAATACAGCTGCATTACTGTTGCTAGAGGTCTTCTTCCCTCCTTGGGCAGCACCTCCCTGGGTGCAGATTTTCCCTTTAAAGCTAATTTAAATCGAACACTTTCAAATTCAGGTCCCCCTTGCGTTGCTCTGACGGGCAGCTACACCTAGCAGTATCTTGCAGGCTGAATGCAGGAGTCCATCCTCAGCTCCTGGCAGTCCTTCCTGGCGGTGCCTCCTCACATTCCCATGGCAGCTGCTGGGAATAAAGGGATGCTGTCACTTTTTGTAAGACCCTGTTACTCCACCAACCCTCAGGACAGTATAGCAAAGGGCTATGATGACCTTCCACCTTGTCCTCTTCTCCCTCCTCCAGCAGCACTGGGGATTCCAAGTGTCCCTCTGCCACCCACAGACACTGTACATCCCCATAAAGCCACTGGGTGGAACTTCTTATGTTGCACTGGCTCTGGCCTTTGGTTTCTGCTTTTGGTTTCTTCTCCTTCTGACAGCAACAGCAGTTGAGTCTCATCTTCACTTCTTGCCGTAAGGGCAGGTCACCCCACTGCCTGGGCTCCCTGCACCTTCCCATTCCCAGGGATAGGGTGAGAGCAAATGGGCACAAACTTGCATATAAGAAGTCCCACCTAAACATGAGGAGGAACTTCTTTATGTTGAGGGTGGCAGAGCCCTGGAAGAGGCTGCCCGGGGAGGTGGTGGAGTCTCCTTCTCTGGAGACATCCAAACCCCACCTGGACACATTCCTGTGAGACCTGCTCTGGGTGGACCTGCTCTGGCAGGGGGTTGGACCAGGGGGAAACTGGTTGAGGGATCAGGGGCACAGATAATTTTTTCAGCATTACCCTTAGTTGCAGGCGAGAATACTGAAAGGAATAGAAAGGCATACGCGATTAACAAGTGGCTCAGAAACTGGTGCCACCAACAAAATTTTGGGTTTTTTGACCTCAGGAAAATTCACATGGTACCAGATACGACAGCAGCAGACAGAGCACACCTGTCTCAGAGGGGGAGAAAGATACTGGCCTGCGAGTTGGCAGGACTTGTTGAAAGGGCTTTAAACTAGGTCCGAAGGGGTAGGGGGTTAAACACAGGTGAAGCAGAAAAAAACTCAAGGAGAGCCATCAACCTACCAGCTCAGCCAAAAAGTCAGCCCCTTTAGGCACCCAGCTGAAGTGCCTAAACACAAATGCACGCAGCATGGGGAACAAGCAAGAGGAGTTAGAGATGTGCGCACGCCTCCAAGGCTACCACCTTATTGGTATCACTGAGACATGGTGGGATGGCTCTTATGACTGGAGTGTTGGGATGAAGGCTCTTCAGGAAGGACAGGATGGGCAGAAGAGGAGGGGGTGTTGCCCTCTATGTCAAGGACCACCTGGAATGTAGGGAGCTCCAACTAGGGACGGATGAAGACACAACAGAGACCTTATGGGTGAGGATTAAAGGGAGCACGGGGGCAGGTGATGTTACAGCAGGAGTCTGCTACAGGCCACCAGATCAAAGTGACAGTGAGGATGCGGCCCTCTATAAACAGATAGGGGCAGCATCGTGCTCACACACTCTGGTACTCATGGGGGACTTCAACCACCCTGATATCTGTTGGAAGGACAACACAGCGGAGCACAGGAAATCCAGGAAGTTCTTGGAATGCGTTGACGACAACTTTCTTTTTCAAATAATTGAAGAACCAACAAGGAAAGGAGCAATGCTGGACCTTGTCTTTACCAACAAGGAGGGGCTGGTTGGGAATGTCAAATTCAAGGGCAGCCTCGGCTGCAGTGATCACGAGATGATAGAATTCAAGATTCATAACGCAGTAAGGAGGATGTGCAGCAAGCTGGCTACCCTGGACTTCAAAAGAGCAGACTTTGATCTCCTGAGAGATCTGATTGGCAAGGTAGCATGGGAAAAAGAGCTAGAGGGGAGAGGGGCCCAGGAGAGCTGGGTGGTATTTAGGGATTGCCTTCTCCAAGCTCAGGAGAGGTGCATCCCAAAAAAGAAGAAGTCAGGCAGAGTAGCTGGCAGGCCTGCATGGATGAGCAGGGAACTGCTGGGCAAGCTTAGGACCAAGAGGGAGGCCTATAGAGGGTGGAAGCAGGGAAAGATGGACTGGGTAGACTATGGAAAAACTGTGAGAGTCACCAGAAACCAGATCAGGCAAGCGAAAGCCCAGGCAGAACTAAATCTAGCCAGGGATGTGAAAAATAACAAGAACTTCTATAGATATATCAGGGATAAGGGTAAGACAAGGGAAGCTGTGGGTCCCCTCCGGAGGGAAGCAGGAGACCTGGTCACCCAGGATGCAGACAAGGCTGAGCTACTGAATGAGTTTTTTGCCTCAGTCTTCACTAGCAGGAGCCCTGGCCACACTGAACAAGCCATGAAGAGCAAGTACAGGGCCTCGGAGAATGAAGAACCACTCACAGTACAAGAAGATGAGGTTCATGACCTCTTAAGGAACCTGAAGGTGCATAAGTCCATGGGACCTGATGAAATCCATCCACGGGTCCTGAAAGAGCTGGCAGATGAAGTTGCTAAGCCCCTCTCCATCATATTTGAGAAATCGTGGCAGTCTGGTGAAGTTCCCACTGATTGGAAAAAAGGGAACATAACTCCAATATTCAAAAAAGGAAACAAAGAAGACCCAGGGAACTACAGGCCGGTCAGTCTCACCTCTGTGCCTGGCAAGATCATGGAGCAGATCCTCCTGAAATCTCTGCTAAGGCACATGGAAAATAAGGAGGTGATTGGAGACAGCCAACATGGCTTCACCAAGGGCAAATCGTGCCTGAAAAATTTGGTGGCCTTTTACGATACTGCCACAGACTTGGTAGACAAGGGCAGAGCGACTGACATCATCTACCTGGACTTAAGCAAAGCATTTGACACTGTCCCACACGACATCCTGGTCACAAAATTGGAAACCCATGGATTCGATGGATGGACCACTTGGTGGATAAGGAGCTGGCTGGATGTCCACACCCAAAGGGTGGCAGTCAACAGCTCAATGTCCAGGTGGCAGCCAGTAACGAGTGGTGTTCCGCAGGGGTCAGTACTGGGACCAGTACTATTTAACATCTTTGTGGGAGACAGATAGAGTGCACCCTCAGCAAGTTTGCTGATGACACCAAGCTTGGTGGTGCAGTTGACACGCTGGAGGGAAGGGATGCCATCCAGAGGGACCTGGACAGGCTGGAAAGGTGGGCCCGTGCAAATTGCATGAGGTTCAACCAAGCCAAGTGCAGGGTCCTGCACCTGGGACGTGGCAACCCCAGGCACAAATACAGGTTGGGTGGAGAATGGCTGGAGAGCAGCCCTGAGGAGAAGGACTTGGGAGTGCTTATGGATGAGAAGCTCAACATGAGCCGGCAGTGCGTGCTGGCAGCCCAGAGAGCCAACCGTGTCCTGGGCTGCATCAGGAGAAGTGTGGCCAGCAGGTCTCGGGAGGTGATTCTGCCCCTCTGCTCTGCACTCGTGAGACCCCACCTGGAGCACTGTGTCCAGCTTTGGAGTCCTCAACACAGGAAGGACATGGACCGGCTGGAACAGGTACAGCAGAGGGCACAAAGATGATCAGAGGGATGGAGCACCTCTCCTATGAAGACAGGCTGAGGGAGCTGGGATTGTTCAGCCTGGAGAAGAGGAGGCTCCGGGGAGACCTTACAGGGGCCTTTCAATACCTGAAGGGTGCCTATAGAAGAGCCGGGGAGGGACTCTTTGCCGGGAAGGGTAATGATAGGACAAGGGGAAACAGTTTTAAATTGGAAGAAAAAAGATTCAGATTAGATCTCAGGAAGAAATTTTTTACTATGAGGGTGGTGAGAGCCTGGCCCAGGTTGCCCAGAGAAGCTGTGGCTGCCCCATCCCTGGAGGGGTTCAAGGCCAGGCTGGATGTGGCCTTGAGCAACCTGCTCTAGTGGGAGGTGTCCCTGCCCATGGCAGGGGGGTTGGAACTCAATCTTTGAGGTCCCTTCCAACCGTAACCATTCTATGATTCTATGATTCTATGATTCTATGATTCTATGATCTCCAGAGGTCCCTTCCAACCCCATAGTATTCTGTGATTCTGTGAACCTGGACTGCCCTGCTGGCACCAATAAACCCAGGCTATCCCCAGATACAGCACTGGAAAAGCACGAAAAGGCAGGAGAGGAAGGCTCTCAGCTGGTGCTGGCAGCTGCAGGCGGAGGAGAGCTCAGGCCCAGGCTGTCCCTGGGTGTTGAACCCATCCCACAGTGCCCGCCACCTCACCTGAGGCAGCGCTGGGCCGTGTGACGGACAGAGCTGCTGCAGACCGTTTGCTGCTATTTAGGCATCCTGGCACCTTCTTCTCCAGATGGAGGGGCTGGGGAGGGTGCGGTTTTACACCCTGTGTTGCACATACTTCGGAGCACGTGGAGATTTAAACATCAACAGAGTGACTCTCGGAGCGCAAGGGCTCCGCAGTCCGTGAGGTGCTGTGCCGGTGCCCCCGAACGCGCAGGCGAGCTGTCAGACCAAGCGAACAGCTCCTCTCCTCCCCCCGCTCCTCCCCACCCCTCCGCTGCCGGGCCCTCCCGGGGCGGGCACGGCCCGTGGCCTGCCCTGTGCGGCTGAGGGGTCCCGG